GTTTGAGGTACAAGGAAGGCAGCCACAGGGTGTAATATATAATGTTTGACATAATGTGTAATTGAATGTCACTGTTCCTGCAGCTGTGTTTTCTGAGTGTCAGCCAATCCGAGCAGGTGATATTCACGCTATGGATTCTGTGCTGTTTCCATGCAGCTGTACAATCCGATCTCATCAGACAAATTATAATGACCGGGCTCTCACTGTGTGATGCTCTTGGTAGGTTCTGGGTTTCCTGTTTAAACAATCTTCTAAAAGAAAGTCTGTTTTTTTTTAAATAGACACCAATCAGGTTCCAGCTACTATTTGGTTGCTGCTAGTTCAAAAAGAAAAAAAAAAAAAAGAATCTATAGCTTTCTATGGACATGATGAATGTCAGAACAGAGCTGTTAGAGAGAGGTAAGTGCTTCAAAATTAATTAGTTTTAGCTAGTTAGAATGTATTTTGGGGGGAGTGTCCATGTCTGCTTTAATACTTAACCTTTAGCATTTCCCAAGCCCAAAAAAACTAAACCCTTAAAATGAATACTTAACCAAAACCCTAAAACTCAACTCTACTTATGTTTGCTAAAGCACTACTCATCCTCCCTATGCTCTACTGCTGCCCTCCATGATCTCCTCCACTGCTGGCTGTTAGTCCTCCCTTGAGTTGCATGATGATCAGTGTTCTTCAACCTCTTCCAGTGAGCTCAGGCTCACTGTTATTGGCACACCAACACTGGTGTTAGGTTTTTACACTTAACCTAAGTGTTAACAGTTAATCTAACACTAATTGTAACCCATGCACTTGGTTTAATCCTTACAATTCATGGAGTTACTTACTTGACCCCACATTTCAACACTCTCTTCCTCTTTGGCTTGTGGGAGGTCACCACCCTCACATACAATGCAGGACTACTGGTGTGCAATGTACATGAGGACAGAACAGTTGAACTGGTTGAGCGACTAGTTGCACAGATGGAGGACATCTGCCGAAGCAAGGAATAAGGTAAGCAATGCACGATATTGCTAATTTCCTAGACATACAGAGTGTTTAAAGATTCCTAGATTGTAAGCTCGAAAGAGCAGGGCCCTTGACCCCCTCGTGTATTGTTTTGTTACTGTATTGTCTCATGTTCTGTCCCCCACTATAATGTACAGCACTGAGCAAACCTTTTAGCACTATATAAATACTGTATAATAATAATAAACCCTCACATATACCCAGTGAAGTGACTGGCCTCAGACGATACACAGAGATGAAACAAATCCTCATACGTAACTTGTACCTGTGTATCTGCAGTCTTCTCTTCTCTACATCTGTTTAAAGTGCTGAATTTATAAAGCCTGTCTAAGCTTCCAGAAAGCAGGGTTCGGGGAGTTAAAATTACACTCTGCATAGCTTATTGAGGAGAGCTCTGAGAGCTGATTGGAGGGAAGAGAAACACCCCCCCCCTTCTACACAACACACAGGAACAGAGCTGAGGCTGTCAATCTGCTGGAGGTCCCTCCCCTGTCACCATTTTTCTCTTGGTGTCAGGAAAAGGAAAGGTATTAGAGGGGAGGGAGGCCTGCTATCATGTTAACCTGTTACTTTGCTCTGAATGGGCAGAGTACAGTTTCGGTTTAATCTGCAACCTAAAACTAAATAGACGGAATGTTAAAATATCCCCAGACCCTTATCAAACCATATCCCACAGCCTTTAAATCTAATTTAACCCATAACCTAATCCCTAACATTACATGAACCCCTAAAGGCCAATACCTTGTTAGTACTATTATTATTATTATACAGTATTATATAGCGCTAAAAGGTTTGCTCAGCGCTGTACATTATAGTGGGGGACAGAACATGAGACAATACAGTAACAAAACAAAACACGAGGGGTTCGAGGGCCCTGCTCTTTCGAGCTTACAATCTAGGAGGGAGGGGATAGTGGTACAGGAGGAAGTGGCTGTGGGGGATGGAGTGGTAGGAGGCGTGGAGGAGATCGGCTGTTAGGTGAGGGCAGGGTAGGCCCTGAAGAGATGGGTTTCCAGGGTGCGCCTAAAGGTGCGGAGGGTAGGTGACAGTCTGATGGATTGGGGTAGTGAGTTCCAGAGGATGGGGGAAGTCCTGGAGAAGTCCTGCAGTCGGGCGTGGGAGGTGGAGACCATAATCATGTGCAGATCAGACAGCCATGTGTATTCTTACTTGGTGTCCCCTGTCTATTTCTTCCAGATCTGTGGCTGAATGCAGCATGCAAACTGCTCCTGTACTTTGCATTTTAGCATTTTTTTGACCAAAACAAAAATAATTATTTTGGTCAAAAAAAGTCCAAAAACACCGGTTTGTGGCATTTTACCGCATTTTGCCGCGTTTTTCAGCGTTAGAGAATTTTTACAGCTAAAAACTCCTCTAGAAACCCACTAGTCCAGGGTTTTTTTTTCCAGCCAAAAAATGTCCCAGACAAAAAATGTTGACTGCAGTCTATGTGTGCATGGACACAGAGGATAACATGCTGGGGGTTTTATGAGCTGTAGAAAAAAACTCAAAAAAAGCCAAAAGCAGCTGCTGTAAAAATGTCAAGTGTGCATGAGGACTTAGCTGTAAAAATGCTCTAATGCTGAAAAACATGGCAGAACGCGGTAAAACGCCACAAACTGGTGTTATTTTACTTTTTTTGACCAAAGAAATATTTTTTTTGGGTAAACCCCCCCCCCCCCCAAAAGACACTAAAAAAGGCAAATGCAGAAAAACGCGTGAAAACCTTTTTTTAACATGACTTTACACAGCTAACGTTACCAGCATTATCAAAATGCCCAGCGTGCATGAAGACATACTGTCAAACAAAAAGAACTATCATCCAAGCTCAGAATGGTCAGCTAAATAAGTTTCCATTTTCCTAGTTGCGCAGTATTGTGAATCCATATACTGTATTTCAGCAGTGAAAAAAACAGCCTGCTTCAATATTAGGAAACATAACAGAATACCTTTTGGAAGATTAATGAGCTCACATCAGTATCTTTAAAACATAAACAGATTTTAAGAGACTGTTCTAGCAATCCACATTTTAATGCAAACTGATAGAAGCTTTAGATAAAGAGTTCAGATCTCATAGAAGCAATGGCTATTTATTTACCATAATCTCACTAGAGGGAGCAACAGAGCAAATGATTTTTTATCATAATATTGTTACCAAATATTTAATGTGAATGCAAAACTGCCAATAATCGCTGAGAGAATAATATAAAGGAAGATTGGAACTGAAACAGTACAACTGTAAATCATGCTTTGATGATCATTCAGAATTTTAATTCACATTATATTAGAAATCCAGGTCTTAAGGTGGAATGGAAATCTTATTATGTTATAATTTATTCATGTTTATAACCCTCAGCCCTTAACAGAGAACAGTGGAGAATTGGTAGGCTCCAATATAACCTTATATAAGAATCTCTGGAGAACTCCCAGCTTTGAAGGTTTCCTATATTCCTATTAGATGGGAAAGCATATATGGGTTGGAGGTTAAAAAAAGAAATTAAAAGAAATGTATAAAATATTTGCATGTATTTTCTTTACTTAGGTATCATGTGTAGGACTAACAATTATGTTTTCATGTCATGTAAATATGAAATGCACATTCATATTTCATTCATATTTAAAGTGGAGTTCCAGACATTTTTGTATTTATTAAAAGTCAGCAGCTACAAAAACTGTAGCTGCTGACTTTTAATAAACACACAATCACCTGTCCCGGGGTCCAGTGATGTACTCACCTGTGCAGTCCCTTCTCTCCTTCTGTCCTCCATGGCGCTGGCATCTCTTCTGTGGGCACCAAGCTGTGACAGCTTACAGCTTCACAGCCGGGTGCCCACTGCGCATGTGTGAGTCGCGCTGCACCTCCTGATTGGTCCGACAGTCTCCTCGGACCTGTGAAAGTTCCCAGGAGACTGCGGGAGCAAGGAGGGTGTGAACTTCTGGATCACTTTGCCGAGGTGAACTAAGCTGAAAGTAGGAGCAGGTACCTGTCAAAACCACGTTCCCGCTCCCTTTTCCCCTCCTCCCCAAAAGGTGCCAAATATGGCAGCAAATAAGGCTAGTTTTATAAATGTTTCAGAATGCTGATTTGCTGCTGTGCTGTGAATAGCCTATATTGCAGAATTAAAGTGGTTGTAAACCTTCTACCTATACCCAGTGAAGTGACTAGCCTCAGGTGATACACAGAGTTCATCCTACATTAAATGTACCTGTTTATTTGCATCTCAATCGAGCTGTTCAAAGTACACAGATCAAAGGCTATTTATCACCATCAGAGTGTAATCTGAGACATGAGTGAAGGAAATGGACACACCCCCTTCTGTGTCTTCCATGGAAATATACATGACTGTCAATCACCTTCTCTGGGCGGGGGGGGGGGGAGAGGGGTTGGGGGGAGAGAGCAGACTGATATCACACTCGGTGCTTTGGATTTAGGCAGGTACACACTATAGAGGGATATGCTTTGTTAATTTTTTTTATTTCAGAGGTTTTCAACCACTTTAATGCTCATTTGAATTTTCTTTCTGCAGGAGTAGTTGACAAGTACAGACCTAGTGCTGGGTTTTCTTACCAGAAAGCCTAGTGTGCATTGTAAACAGGATAAAATGAAAGAACCCAGTGTTAAATGTTTGCTTAACCTCCCTAACGGTATGATTATGTCCATATTTCTGTGCTCAAAGCGGTAAATTTTTTTGCATGGAAATATGTATTTTTTTTATTGTAGGCCTGTAATTTTAGGAATAACTCACTGAAATCTGTCCGATCAAGAGTCCAGTAAACATCCCGGGTATGATAAAACTTGAAACACGAAATAATAAATTATAATTGAATAAATAATCATAAAAAATAATAATATAATAATAATTAATTTAATTCAATAATATAATCAAACCAAACACATTGAAAATTTGAAATATAGCGTCAAGTTCGCACATCACTGAGCAAAGTCGCAAAATCGTTTTCAGTGTCTGATGACGAATTTCCCCACGAATCATTATCACTCAATTCTGCAAGTGGTTCTAATTTAATATCGCTGTTCTCTAGCCGGTCTAAAACCGCTTTTGACCTAAAGGGACGCTTTTTGGACGCCATGGATGTTTCTCAGTTTTCAGGCAGAAAGAACAGTAAAAATGCAGGCAGGGCACAGGACAAAGCACTCGGGACAAAATGTATGTGAAATGGTTTGATACAGGAATGTTTTACTATGTGATTTAGTGATTGTCACTTTTTGTCATTTTCAAATTTCCCGCCATTCCATCCCCGTACCTCCCGACGCTCGCAGGGGACGGAACCCAGATGACAGATGCCGACATCTGCTGGATTACATTGCCGGGGACACTGCAGGAGGGACATCGCGGGAGCGCAGGACAAGGTAAGTGATCGAGGGATCCTGGAGCAGCGCCGCATGGTAAGCCCGAGTGTAGCTCGGGGTTATCGCTTGTGGTACTGAAACTTTACCCCGAGCTACACTTGGGAATACCGCCAGGGAAGCTACAATAATGAAAAAGGGATATATGATTTTTAGAAACTTTTAAACTAAAGAGACCTTGTCCCCATTTTTTTCATGCCATGTCATTCCTTTCAGTGAAAATATTCCCATAGAATTATACATGCATTTCATGTATTAAGGTATTTCATGCATGTTATGTGACTGTAGAATCCTGCCCTTTGTAGACATTCATAACCCCTGAGCCTGTTGTTGGGTGACACCATCTGTGATGCGATGTCAGCAGCCCCAGCAGACTCTTAGCTGTCAATCAAGTGACACTCTATAGCAGGGGTCCCCTAACTTTGTAAACAAAGGTCTGGTTTACTGTCCTTTAGACTTCAGGAGGGCCGGTGCGGCCAGTGGGAGTAGTAAATCTCCCAGCATCCGAAGGAGTAAAAAAAAAAATGACATAGTGCTTGTAGTCAGTGTAAGGTGGGGAATAGGAGGAATAGTATCCAGTCACTGGTATTAGTTGGAGGAATATTGCCACATCGTTGGTATCAGTGAGAAGAATAGTGCCCCATTATTGGTGCCATTGGATGAATAGTGCCCCATCATTGGTGACAGTGCGAGAAATAGTGCCCCATCATTGGTGTTAGTGGAAAGAATAGTACCCCATCATTAGTGTCAGTGGGAAGAATAGTGCCATATCATTAGTGTCAGTGGGAAGAATAGTGCCCTATCATTGTGTCAGAGGAAGGAATGGTGCCCTATCATTGGTGATAGTGCGAGAAATAGTGCCCCATCATTGGTGATAGTGCGAGAAATGGTGCCCCATCATTGGTGTTAGTGGAAAGAATAGTACCCCATCATTAGTGTCAGTGGGAAGAATAGTGCCATATCATTAGTGTCAATGGGAAGAATAGTGCCCCATCATTGGTGTCAGTGGGAGGAATAGTGCCCCATCATTGGTGTTAGTGGGAAGAATAGTATCCCATCATTGGTGTCAGTGGGAAGAATAGTGCCATATCATTGGTGTCAGTGGGAAGAATAGTGCCCCATCATTGCTATCAGAGGAAGAAATAGTGCCCCATCATTGCTATCATAGGAAGAAATAGTGCCCCATCATTGGTATCAGAGGAAGGAATGGTGCCCCATCCTTGGTATTAGTTGGAGGAATAGTACCTAATTGTTTATATCAGTGGGAGGAATTGTGCCCCGTCATTGGTATCAGTGGAAGGAAAAATGCTCCATAGTTGGTGCTAGTGGAAGAAATGGTGCCTCCTGTTGGTGTCAGTGGGAGGAATAGTACCCCGAGGGCCAGATAGAGGCAGGCAAAGGGCTGCATTTGGCCCACGGGCCGCAGTTTGGAGACCATTGCTCTATAGCATTCCCCTTTATCAGCTGGATCAGCACAGAGAGGAATTAGATCTATCAGACCAGGAGAGGATTTTTTTTCCAGAAAACTGACTCTTTCTGGAGTACTGACATTTTCTAGCAAGTTCAAAAAGACATTGCAATTAAATAAAAAATAATTTATGGAAATGCAAAACATTGCAAGTAAGCATTTTAGACACCCGCCTTTTCTGTGTATTTACTTGCATTTTTTTACATTGATGGCAGAGTCTCTAAATATTGCACGCATGTTTTATATAGAGTATATTCTGTATCCTGCTCTCCCAGATAGGAAATGGAAATGGTTTTCTGCAGGTGATATCTGCCACTGTTGTCTATTCATGTGCATAGTTTGCAGTTCATCAGGAGCTTTTGATACTGATATGATTCCGCTGCAATGATCCCCCCTCATAACTATGAATGAGCAAATTACTGGCTAATTTAGAAGTCATAGTCTACAAGCCACCTGTCTGTATCGGGGTGCCAGGTGTGCTGGCAGTTTTCAGAATATCGCTCTAGTTCCTTATCCGTGATTGTGCTTTCATATCTCACTGGCTGGCTGACAAATGCATGCTTTGTTTCACATCACTTTCAGCTGCCTGTGTGCAGAATCACATTGCGCCTATTTCGGCTTTGTACTGGAAGACCCTCTGGCAGTACTGATGCTATTACTCAGTGAAGGTGCATTGTAAATCGTATCCACAAAATTCCTGCTTAGTGTAAATGTAACATACTGTATCTTACTTTGTACAAACCCATTGTATGATCCTTTTTTTTTCTTTTTTTTTTTAAGTGCTCATTTACACTGGCAGAAAAAAAAATGCTGTGTTTAGATGCGCATCAGAGTGCAATGCTATACACTCACTTTATTAGGTACCCCTGTTCAATTGCTTGGTAACACAAATTGCTAATCAGCCAATTACTTGGCAGCAACTCAGTGCATTTAAGCATGTAGACATGGTGAAGACGACTTGCTGAAGTTCAAACCGAACATCAGAATGGGGAAGACGGGATTTAAGTGACTTTGAACGTGCCATGGTTGTTGGTACCAGACAGGCTGGTCTGAATATTTAAAAAACTGCTGATCTACTGGGATTTTCATGCATAACTATCTCTATGGTTTACAGGGAATGGTCTGAAAAAGAGAAAATATCTAGTGAGCGTTAGTTGTGTGGAGGAAAATGCCTTGTTGATGCCAGAGGTCAGAAGAGAATGGTAAAGAAATGGCAAACCCAAATGCTCCTGCGCTTAGGTATGGACTCTGTATGGATAGGACCACATCACAAATTTCTTGGGATATGCACGCCTTGCTGCCCTCAAATGACCAGGGAAGTCCAAGTATACTGAGTAGAGAAAAACAAAAAGAGGGCGCACCGGCCTAGTGCATTACCTTAAAAAATGTGCTTATTAAATGATAAAAAGTAGGTATTGTACTCACAAAATGACAATACAGTCAAAGGTACATCAAATAGAAACCGCTCAGTCCAATCCGCACTACATGTGCATCCGTAATGGGAACTTTGGACCTCCGACATGCTGACACATTTTGAGGACTTGCCTCTTCCTCCAACTGGCTCTGAGGAAGAGGCAAGTCCTCGAAATGCATCAGCCTGTTGGAGGTCCAGAGTTCTCATTACGGACACACACGTAGTGCAGATTGGACTGAGCGGTTCCTATTCGATGTACCTTTGACTGTATTGTCATTTTGTGAGTACAATACCTACTTTTGTCAGAGGAGAATGAGCAGACTGGTTGCTGCGACATTCAGATGGTAGAGCCAGAATTTGGTGTAAACAACACCAAAGCATGGATCCATCCTGCCTTGTATCAACGGTTCAGGTTGATGGTGGTGGTGTCATGGCGTGGGGGACATTTTCTTGGCACTAGCAAGGTGTACCTAATAAAGTGGCCAAAGAGTGTAGTACTCAATGAGCCCATAGACAGGGGTTGACTGACCATTTGGAAACTCAGGCACTGCCCGAGGGCCCAGGGTCAGTAGGGGGCCCCATGAGATGCCCCTGGTACCTTTTTCATAGGCTTTTTTGAGTTTGGGCAAGGACACAGAGGCCCCATGATCCCCTATTGCCCGGGGGCCCCATGAGTTGTCAATCCGCCCCTGCCCATAGACACAGCTGTGTCTACATGCCCGGCAAAAAGAAGTAGGACACAGCTACGTTCAGGGCCACACAAATTTGCAGATTTTATGTGTGTACATACACAAACACATATGTGCGTAGATGTGTAATTATTCATTGAAAAGAAATAATAATTATACGCATCTAAATGTGCCTAAACACAAGTACTTTTGAGTGGGGGTCAGCAACCAATAGATCACAATCTACCAAATTTATATTTTTTATGGTGTCAATCTCTGGTATAAGCACTGATTAAATAATTACACAAATGTTGCAGTGAAATAGATTGTGCTGTACAAGTTTGTATGTAAATGATGGCTGTGTTTATCCACATGGGGTTTGCACAGGTGTTTCCTGTGTAGACGGTCCCATTGATGTCATTTGAGATGCAGTAAAAATGGAGTACATGGCCATTAAGTAGTGGATGTGTATGGATTGTTTTCTGAGCATATGGATATCATTTAGTGTCATTATAAGCTGACATACTTACAGGGCAAAAGCCCAGGAGGGAAGAGACAGAACAGGAAGTGGATCTGATATTTATCAGTTCTTCCAGCATGCCTCAGTATGTTTTCCAGGCCCACTGATTGGCCAGGCTACCAAAATCCATAACACAATATCATATAGCTCTAGCACACCCTGCTGGAACAAGCTCAAACAACACGTGGCAGAGAAAATACACTGTACTTAGAGACACACCTCCTGTGGAGGTACAGTTGGGGTGAACCACAGCCCTCTGCTGGTTACAGAATTCACAAAAATTCAAAAAGGAAGTTTAAAATAATAAATCTCTAGTTTTGCAAATGCAACCCACCTTGCCAAAAAAAGAAGGTATTTCTCCTTTTCATAGAGTAGCATTCATTGCTTCCAAGCAGCATGCTTAAAGATATTACAGGAGAATGTGGGAGGGATCCAGCAGGTCACATGTCTTTCATAACATGTGCAAGCTCTTGGAAAAGCTACATATTTAAAACGGTATTCAACCACAACCAAAAAAATGTAATATATTGCAGCTGACCAATCATTAGCTGTGGTGGCTGCATTAGATTTCTTTTCTTTGTTTTTTTTTTCTCCTCCGTTTTTACCTGCTAGTCTGGTCAGTAACATACCTCCTGTATTAGAGTGCCCCCATTCTGGAAGAAGGCGCACAGGGGGCACCTTTGGATAACAGCATTGTCAGTCTGGGGGGAGGGAAGAGTTAGATGGACTAGCAGATTTAAATAGTTATTTATTTATTTATTACAGGTACTTACTGTATATAGTGCTGTCAATTTACACAGCGCTTTACATATATATTGTACATTACATTAGTCTCTAACTCTCAAGGGGTGTACAATCTGAGGTCCCTAACTCACATTCATACATACACATATTAGGGCCAATATAGACAGGAG